TTATTTGTTATAAAATTAAATGGAAATAATAAATCTGATAAATTTTTACTATGTATGGATTTCTGGTTAATATCAAGGGTAAGAACATTTTAATTAATTGTGTTCAACGTACTTCCCCTTCAAATCTCAATCCAGTGAATTTGTATACCAACACCAACATTTTCGTCTTTGTTCGTAAATAATTTCATTGTACTAAAGGGTTATAGTAGTAGAAAGTCAAATAAGGAGATCACCATATTTTTTTACAAATACCATCTGTGTGAAAAGGCATAGTGGACTCCGTGACTGGTGTTCTCTTATTGTTCCTCTTAGATTGTTTACTATAATGTAACATAACAAAAACTTTAGCCACAGCAACGCGTGGCCGGGTCAGCTAGTATCTATATATATTCGTACATTACATATCTACGCGATTCCTGGTTTAGATAAAATGCTAACAGAAAAAGATTAAAAATGTTGATTGCGTTTGGATATAAAAATGCCGACGGCAAAATAAAATTTTATGCTTGTTCAACTCCCTAATGGTTTCATATATATACATAAAATATATAAGGAAATATATCAAATTACTGTTATTATTTGTATTCATTTCAATATTACTATAAACTAATAAATTCAGTCTATTTAACGAATTAAAAAAGTGTTTTAGTTTTTGTTAACAATTTACAGGCTATTTGACAGCTCTTCTATGTTGCCTCTTTTTATTCCAAAAGAATTACTTCACAAAATCGCGGTATAGAGCAATTTGTTTTCATAACAATTGTCACAACCTAAACCGAAATAAAGTAACGGTACGTACTTGTCGTAATCTTGTATTCTATCATTCGTGGGTTGTGTGTAAAAGTTTACAGCTATGCAAATCTTCTAAGAAAAGCAAAACGAAAAGTGCTTTTTCTTGTCGGTTATATTATTAATCGAATTGGAAACGCAACTGGCGGCAAGATTAAAGTTGAAATTTGAAATAAACCCTTGCTAAATCAACCGTTTATCCCACTGTGCATTGCTCGCTTTTGCGAAAATCAGTGAAAAAAGAGCGGCATAACAATGTGAAGTGGTTAAGGGCGGAAGAAGTTTCTAAGAATAGCAGAAAATGAAAAGAAGGAATGTACAAGTGAAATAGGGCTTTTTTAATAGAATTATAGTTTCATATAGGTACGTACAAAAATACTTAATAATTTATATAATTGTGTGTTCAAACTAGGCACAATACCTATCAGTGTCAAGCATTAAAAAGATGGTCAAGGACTAATCTTGCTTTAGCTGAAGGAGGCCCAAATGAAGGTGATTTTGAGACCGAAATAAGGAAAGTGTTGCGAAACCAAATGCAGATAAAAGCACTAACCCTTAAAGTAATGGACGAAATCACTATACGCAGCTGAACAATTTTGATATAAACTAGATTAGAAGCATCAGGACGGCGTACCTAGGAACACAAACTGCTGTGATAAACCTACTCGCGCTGGAGGCAAGGACGCTTTTGGATCCACATGAAAACAAAATAGGTTGACGAGAGTCATGCAACTGTACTAAAGACGTACTGGTTGTTGCACATGGGGTTGCTAAATACAGGAAACCAATACATCTTCGAGAAGAACTGTCATAGCTATAGTGCCCAGAACAAGCTGGCAGGTGTGTGACCTCTACACGTACAGTGATCATCCGGCTATTGTGCTTGAAATCGGACACCCAGTCTCCCAAAATCAAAAAGTCGTTACAAACTCTTCGTACTTTAGCTAATATGAGTTGTGCAGAAAATAGAGATCGACAGGCGGAGATGCTGGTAAGAAGCATTAGCAAAGCATCCGACGCTTCTATGTGCAGGAGAAAAAATTGCGTCTGAGAAGTGAATGCCTCAAAGCAAGGAAGATCTGTCGAAGGAAGCGGGGATCCCTGCAGCATACGGAACTACGCGAATGCTACAAATGAAAACGCAATGACCTCAAAAAGGCGATTAAAAGGAATAAATCTTGTTGCTTCAAAGAACTTGGCGGAAAAATAAACGAAAATCTAGTGGGCATAGCTGGTAATGTCGAAATTCAAAGGCGGAAAAGGGCAAACACCAACCTGTTCTAGGCTATTGAAAACCGTCGCAGAAACTCTTTTCTTAGCACAGCCACTAAAGAAACGACAGGCTCGAGCAGAGAAGGGAATGCCGCAATAGTCAATGGAGTGGATGTGATTCATGCGGTACAGAGATTTGGTAATGCCAAAGCACTAGGCCTAGCGCCTACAAAAGATGGTTTCCCAAACATCTGAAAACAGCAGCAACTTGCCTTGTTACAGAAAAAGAAATCGACCAGCGAGCATAACTTTTATCGACCGCTTTACATGTTGGATACGCTTGGCATGAAACTAGATGGACCGAGAAAATATGCGGTAACGGATGGACAGTGGCCAATTGTTGTGGAATGTACTCTACGACGGTTTGTTGAGTCTTCTACATCTGAGGGAGGTTCAGATCATCGGATACGCGGATGATATTGCAGAAGTAGCAAAGGAACTGGATCAAGTTTTGAAACTATGTAATCTGATCACATCGAAGATTAAGAAATGTCTCACTGCAATAAACCTTAGGTTAGCTGGACAAAAACTTAAGCAGTGCTGATCACAATCAGGAAGAAGCTTGATGGTATCATCCTTAAGATAGACGGCTATAGCATCACAACTGAGCAGTCGCTGAAGTATTTAGGAGTACTTAGTGACACGAGACCTAATTATAAGACGCACATCGACAAAGTCTGTGAAAAGGCGGTACATGTAGCCACCACACACAGTATCCCGCGATGCAGTTCGGATACTTGCTGGCGTCATATCACTGGACATAATGGGCATGGAAATCAAATAAGTATACGACAAATCCAAGAGTATGGGGAGGCGACCAACAGTTGCGGAGCGAAAAGTAAAGTATTTTGCGTAATAGAGATACAGACAGCTAAAAAATCCACCCTATTTGTTACATTTAGAATAAATTCTTTCCCCAGAAAATAATTAACGTGTAGGTTCAAAACAAAATTAGTTTTGAAACATGAGGAACTAGTCTATTAGTGAAGTAAGTGTCATATGCGGACCAACGCAGTATAGAAAAATAATTTATATAAATGCTTAAGTACGATATTACTCAAACTAGCACGTCCTATTACGCATCACAAATTGTATTAAGCACCAGGATAACTTTCCTATGAGCTATTGTAGACGACACATTAGACAAATTAAAAGGATCGTTTATATTCACAACTTAAATCGAACCATATTCCAGAAAATACACAGACTTCGTAAGCAACAGTTGACGGTACAAATTTTATTTTGTTTCTTTTTGTATTAACAATTCATTTGCAGTATTTGGTATATTTATTAGAGTTTTCGCGATATGATTCAAGATGAAACAGCAATTATATACATAGACGATATAGTTAATTCTAAAGATATGGAAAGGAAACAGACCTTCAAATTTTACGATTTGTTATCAAAAATGGTAGAAAAAAAAACAAAAGCTACAAAATAGTTTCCAATATCAGGGAGTAAAAAGAGCTTCAACGATTTTTTGGGTTAATATCACTATCGGATTTACTAAAGAAGGATGAGAAATTTAGGTTGGGAGAGGACCAGTTAGTATCAATTCAAGAATGGAAGTTTGCATTAATTAATGGCCTAGAACCGCAACTCTTCAACCGGAACGAAGCTGCATACTGAATTATTGCGAAGGGAAGTTGAGGACTAGTTATCGAATTCATGACTTAAAATATCAGGAGTTGAAGAGAGAAATGACACCTATGAACTCGAGATCCCAACAGTAATTAAGGCTTTAAAAACAATGGAGGGTCTACCGGAAATAATTATCTGGCGGGTTATGTACCTCCAGGAATGCAAAAATGTGGTTGAGCATCAATCCGAAACTCATATGAGACACATAGATGCATAAAATCGCTTGTTTACTATTATATTTGAAGACTCGCTAAAGCTGTGAGTAAACGAAGCTTAGTTGCAAGATTAATTGTACTAGCGCACAAGAGGGAGCATATTATGAAATTTACACATAAGCGGGGTTATTTTACGTCCGAAGTTATTAAAATACACCTATTACATGGCGAATGTGTTCGAGAAAGTGCAGAGAGTTGTTAAATCACCTATTGAAAGCATTATTACAGATGCAAGTGGAGGTGAGAAGAGAGAGATAATTGATCCCCAAATTTTAAAAACAGTAAAGATCCTGTGATTTTGCGTTTAACCAAGAGACGGTTAGAAATAATAAATAGATGTGCTTTCAAAATTCGTATGGTTGTACCCCTCAAAGTCAACTAGAGAATGTCGTCAGGTCATAAATCTTTACCGTAAATGCCTTCAAAGGATATAAAAATAAGGAATGTATACAGCACCTGTTGACTGTGAGAGGAGTACCTCGTGTAACGGTGTCACAGTTAGAACGAGTCCACCACAACGCAACGAAAAAATTATCCTATAAAGACTACCGGGCGTACATTTAGTTATCTAGAGTAACAGACAATGGTAGATGAAATAGAAGTCAATGAGTTAAATGTTCATCGTGCTTATCTACACAAGAGGCACAGAGTAACATAAAGCAAATTCAGGGTAAAAGATCTAGAACATTCAACAAAAATCGTCGGGAAATTTTAATTACGAAATTAGCGATGTAGCTGTGATAGTGTGAACGCAGTTTGATGTTCCCATAAGGTTGTAAACGGTAACGACAAACGGCCATTATTGTGTAATCAACTTCTAGGGTGAAAGGACAATATTTGAAATAAGTTGACGTTGTATGTGAACATGAAGAAAATGTTTAATAATTACTTAAATTGAAATCTAATAAGTCATATAAAATGTGCATATATCAATGAAAATTAATAGTTAATTAGTAAGGTCGAACTATTCAGTAAAGTTAACTGCAAAAAGAACTACATATTTCGCAACAAAAATATGACCGCACATGTATTTATACCAACCATCTCATGACACCATATTATAAATTAGTAAATTATGCTCACCAAAAGTATTTTCTGTTAAAAACTGCAAAAGGTGAAGATCAAGAAGAGGTTGGTTCGTTGTTGACTGTCGGCTGGGCAATTCCTTTTGCGCGCTCAATGCAGCTGCCGCGGCAGCAATTGCTGCTTCATTTCTGATATGTGAAATCGACTTATTCTTATGTCCAATGTCGAAAACATTTTCTTGTTTGTTGTCATATCCTGTAGAAGAGCTATTTAAATTCATTCGGCATGCAGTTAAATCTTCCGGATCATCATCAGATTCCATATTCGTTTCATAAATTTCTGTATTATGTTGTGTATTATAGCTGTAATCTATACCTGTTATACTAGCTGTATTGGCAGGAGATGCATGGTTATGTAAATCATCTGGTGAAATTTTTACCCCAGCCTTAGCTAATAAACGTGAAGCCAATATAGGGTCAAAAGCACAAGGCATTGGTAACACAGGAAGATCTTTCGTAGATATACCACGATGCTGACGTGACATATGTGAATGCAATGAATTACGAGATTTCGCAACAGTACCACATAAAACGCATCTATATCCAGGACAAACGGTATGTTTATCCTCAAGATGAGTACGGAGCGTATGTGCCGACCTGTAAATTTTTCCACATTTTGGACACGGTCGTGGATCTGTGGCTCTTACCCTCATTTCCACTGAACGATGAGCTCCTGTATAAAAAACACATATAATTACTTTATTGTTTTTCAAACGAATGAAATTACATATTGTATATAAAATTCCTTTAATAACTATTTTACAAATTCGAATGAGGAAGAACACACTCCTAAACGTAGTACCGGTTAAATGATTCGAAATATTCTTTAAAGTGTGAACAATTATATATAAACGGTGTAAATAGTCGGTAATGCTGTATTATTACTTTGTGAATACTACTAATAGAAATCAAAAAATTCAGATGATTATGACCTAGGGAGTACTTGGTCAGGCAGTTATAGAAAATATTAATTAAATTCAGCCCGTATGCACTTTCCATCTCACTTGTTTAACTATACACCAGCCATGGAACTTAGAACAACGAGAAGGTGGAAATCGAATTTTGTATGATGTTCGAAGGAGCGGCTGAAGAGTAAGGAATTAACCATTTTCTAACATATTCGCTACTAAGTAGAAGAAATATGTGAAAGACGACTGTTTACAGAAGATCTGTTCAGATGATCTGTCCACGAAACGAGAAAAATGCATTTATCTTTATTTGTAATTCCAAAAACTCAACGCTTTATTGCTCTTTACACAAGCTTACAATTTCTTACTTATATCTCAAATGCTTTACACGGCAGCACTCAAACTAGAACTGTCCCTGGTGCACAATCCGGCAGCCCTTATAGTAAATCTTTAACAAAACTTCTCCACTCAAACATTCTAGCGACTACGAATTTAGCAGTCTGGTTGATTCGGGCAATTTATCGTCGATTCGATTTTGTTTTCGAATCCGTCTTGATATGACATATTAGCGGTACCAAGCGCCTAGAATTTAGGTCTCTCATCTCATCTTCTAGGACGCTGTTGACTCCCTTGGCCGTCTTTCACTTATTGGCGTTAATTCCATCCGTTTTTCGAATACCCAGTTCATGGTACAGCCCTTGAATTAAAGCTGACTCGAAATTCTTTAGTTAGTGAGAACGTAATTCCGTTGGAACACAAAACTCGTTACCCACTTGTTGATGAATACGCTAGTGGTTCAGTTTCTTGATAAGAAATTGTGTATATTTCTGGCCATACGTTGAAATGGTCCTTGGTCACATTACATATTTCTTTCCTATTTATTTGTGGGAAATGGACCGTCAGCATTCATGGCAATGTGCACAAATGGCGCACCTGAATTGTACTGCTTCATCTGGCCATGACTCCAGGACCTAGATCCTTTAGTTACAATGTACTCAGCATAACTGGCTGTAACTGATTGACGACAACCAATCCAATAAAATCTTTGCTTTAACTACTTTAAGGTCGTCGTGAATCTCAAAAGCCCCTCCGTTGCGCAGCACGTAGAGAACTCCAGGAGTACTACATTCAGCCACATACCAGCTTAAAACTGCTCCGCTCTGCGCAAAATGCTCTGCCGACTATGAAGACCCTTGTACTAGTGTACACGCTTCCTGCTCTTTAAACTGTGAGAACACCTGAGCTGATATGTGCTTCCTGCTCTTGTGCTGGGATACAAGCTTCTTGCCAGGACTGTGAGGACAACTGTTTCGATATAAGCACCTTCTTCTTCCACGCTGCCTTAAACATTGCTGACAACTGTGCTTACAAATGCTCTTATACAATAAATATTTAATAAAGTTTCGCCATCGGAGATTCTGACAATTTTATTAATTTTTGCCGCTCAACGATTAACTAAAAATTAGAACAGGTTTTATTACTGAGCGAGAGCGATGCCACTCTGGCGCTCAAAAATGCCGCTCACATACCGCTAATTGTGTGATCACTTCAATAGTAATCCACATGTTTTAATTGTCTGCGTCCCACCAGCCAGTTGTTCACCATTGCGTGGCGACCGCCTAAGAGACAGGAAAAGAAAGCCTAATATGTCCTTTTACATATATGCACGCACATATGTATGTTATTCAGTACTAGAATACAGGTTCTATAATTTTACATCATCGCAAAGCATGCTTTTATACAACATACGAATGCGAGGAGATGTGTGCGGCACTTGTTATTCCTTATGAATGTTTATACATACAAATACAAGTCGCATTTGCTTTCGTAAACATATAGACAAATGGGTCAATTCATCCAAAATTTACATTCAAATTTTTTCCAAATTTCCGACGAAATGTTCGCTGTCGAACCTTCTCGGTTTTTTACGTTCTCTGTATTTTCGTATGTATTTTATATGATGCTTCCCCACCAGCCACGGCTAATCACTTTCCCCAGAAATTTCAACACAATTACACATTTTTTCTTCATGCCCTAACACCAACGAACATATTTGGGATAATGCCTTTTTAACTTCCCGCTAAGAAAATGGAAAATTTTCTAAAAATCGGGAAGATATTGGTTTCACCCCATTTTGCAAAAATCGAGTTCTCAACAGATCTCGACGTTCTGAGGGTCGAGGAAGCTTCCCCGAACATTTCTACGATGATGTCCGTATGCCTGTATGTATGTGTGTGTGTGTGGATGTATGTGACCCTCTTATAACTATTAAACTGCTCAACCGATTTGAATAAACTAAACGGCATTCCAAAGGGTTTCATTGCACTTGAATTTCGTGTAAGTTTGGACCCAATCGGACCGGTAGATTTCGAGAAATCTCAAAAATAAATTTTTTCGAATTTTTTCCAAACGACTTGACCGATCGACACCTAACTAATCAGTTCTAAACCTTGAAGAAACACATCGTTTGCCGCAAACCGGGTCGAAATCGGTTGATTTACTTGCTAGATATCGAAAACGAAAAATTTCGAAGAGCTCAAAAGCAGTGAAAAAAGCGAAATTTGAACGTTAGCGTATGAAATTAGAGGGAAATTGCAGGGATGGCCCTTGAGGCCAACCGTTTTCCACATTTTTTTTAACCAATTTCGAATTTCCCAAACATACAAAACTTGCTATCTCATTCGTTGAATGAGTGCAAATGAGAAAACATATTTGGCATTAGGAGCAATAGAAAAATCCAAAAAGATAAATACAAATACGAGTACAAATGCAAGTAATTTGCGTTTTTAAGGGTAAAAAGTTGACAAATTCTGTGCAATTTTATACATTTGTATTTAACTAATTTGTTTACTTTTTCTAGCATAACAACAGCATACAGTGGATAGATTTGATTAGAATATTTCAAATAATTAATTAATTTACATACATTTTTTAAAAAAATTTATTTTACTTCAAGGCATATAAACATTACAATAGCAAGTAAGGAAGGGCTAAGTTCGGATGTAACCGAACATTTTATACTCTCGCAAAGTGAAATATACTCGTTTGAGATTTCTTTGTGGATTGACCGATATTTTCGGTAGAACGTCAACTATAGGCACTGTGGTCCACATATTCAGTACTTAGGGGCTTGAACAGTTTTGGTTCGATTTAAACAATTTTTGGTCACAAGGTGGCATACTTATACGTATTATTCACGCAAATTTTTACCCTGAAATAATCATTGTTACCTGATTTGCATAGTGGAAAGTGAAAGAATCAGATGGAACTTAAAATGGTGTTATATGGAAAGTAGGCGTGGTTGTAATCCGATGCCCATTTTCACACTTTGATATAGAGATATGAAACTAATGTCATTTACTGAATTTGGTTGAAATGGGTAAAGCAGATCCCAAGATATGGATTTTTACCTAAAAGTGGGCGGTGCCACGCCTACTATCTAATTTTGAACGTGGTTCCTATAAAATCATCTTATACCATCCCAGATATAAAACTTAATGACTCTGGCTTGTTTAGTGCTTGAGTTATCGCGCTTTTAGTAGTTTTTAACAGTACCGTTATATGGGAAGTGGGTGGGGTTGTCGCCCACATAAAAAAAATGTTAACTGCAGATGCCTCTCCCTAATGATGATCCTGTATACCAAATAAGAGTCTTTTATCTTGTTGTGGAGTTTAATCATGGCAATTTATTTGTTTTTGATTAATGGCGTTTTGTGGGCGCGGCAGTGGTCCGATTATGCCCACTTGCAACACCAACCGTCTCACGGTACCAAGAAACGTGTCTACCAAGTTTCATAAAAATATCTCAATTTTTACTAAAGTTACTGCTTGCACAGACGGACGGCCAGATGGACGGACGGACAGACAGTCACCCGGATTTTAACTCTTCTCTTCATCCTGATCATTTATACATATATAACCCTATATCTAACTCGATTAGTTTTAGGTGATACAAACAACCGTTAGGTGAACAAAACTATTATACTCTGTAGCAACAGGTTGCGAGAGTATAAAAACGTGGATGGGATTGGTAAAATTCTAACACAAACACGCATGGACTCATTAATTGGGGTAAATTCGTTTATTCATTAAACAAGTTGTGCATGATTCATTCTACCCTGAACAGGTTATATTAAGTTTGCCACGAAGTTTGTAACATCCAAAAGGAAACATCAGAGACCCTATAAAATATATACATTAATTATTAGCATGATGAGCTGAGTTGATTTAGTCATGTCCGTCTGTCTGTCCGTTTGTCTGTATATATACTAACTAGTCCCTCAGATTATAAGCTATCGATCTGAAATTTTGCACCTGTCCTTTTCTCACAAAGAAGCTGCTCATTTGTTGGAACGGTATCGGACCACTATAGCATATAGCTGCCATACAAACTGAACAATCGGAATCAAGTGCTTGTATGGAAAACTCTTTCATTTGACGAGGTATCTTCACGAAACTTGGCATGGATTATTATTTAAGGCATTTATCCAATCTTCGAAGAAATTGTATAGATCGGATGACTATAGCATATAGCTGCCATATTAACTGAACGATTGGAGTAATTTGCTTGCATGGAAAATTTGTTTATTTGACGAGGTATCTTCACGAAATTATGCCCGAGGTATCGCTTAAGGCAGCAAATTATTATCTGCAGAAATTGGTCAGATCAGATCACTTTATCATATAGCTGCCATACAAATTGAACGTTCGGCATCAAGTTATTGTAAGGGGCCTTTGTATTTGTAAAGGGTATTATAGCTTCGGT